TCTATACCGCTGCTGTGAAGCATACCCGTTCTATACCGCTGCTGTGAAGCATACCCGTTCTATACCGCTGCTGTGAAGCATACCCGTTCTATACCCGAACAGGAAGGTCGTCCCTTCCCAGCCGAGTGTTACCACGGTGACAGAAGTGGGACTCGGGGAGCCTGAGGAGGATAACCCACACAGAAGGTGTGCGTCATACCCAGCAATACCCAGAATCCTTAGCCAAGAGTCCTTTCCCTGGAGACAGTGCTAAATATCCACCAACAAGGAGCAACAGCTTCAAAATCGGCATATAGCAGAAATAATCCTCAATTAAAAGCTCTGTTGTAACCAAGGTAAACAGAGTACAAATATAGAGCCTCCTAAACTTTTAGACGTGACAGAACTGTCCCTGTGCAGCACCCATACCATACAGCCAGGATTAAGGAAGTACATCCATACTGTTTCAGAGCAGAACTTGTAAAGCTCAAATATAACAAGGCTGTTGTGCAAGTGACTGCATCACCAACACGGCTGTTTGTTTACCGGAAGCACGCCGTTGCGCGTTACACGGATTTTATCACCACTGAAGCGGATCGTCAGACAGGAAGGGCGGTGAGGGCGGACGTCACCCCGAGCAGCCCCTCCCCCAACTGAGCAGCCTCTTAATTGAATTCCTCAGTCACGCTCTGACTGATTACGGGCAGTGGAAAGGCACGTCACCGGAGCGTGCCTCCCACAGAGGGCTCGTGGGCGCCCCCGCGTGGCCAGCTGCTGCTCTCACAGACACGTGACATGGTCAGGCTGAATTCAAGGGCAAAAAACAAAAAGGAGAACACTGCGAGGGGGGGGGGGGCAGCAGGCAAAGTCATTTTATTAATATGACACTCTGTTCCCACAGTTTTTACAGACGTTTTTTTTTTCATTTATTTCAACGTCCATAAGAAGCCCACCAGCTGCCAGTCGTCTTAAAAGAAGTCCATTTTTAATGGCCATGTAATTTGAATGGGATTACACTAAAGAAAATTCATCCAGAAAAAACTGGTTGTTTACAAAAGGGACTGTAGCACTGCCATGATCTGCTCAGCACTCAGGAGGAAAAACTCATTATCTGCAAAGCACTAAGGCGTTTAGTACAGTCTAATGTGTTCTCAAAAATAAAGATTAAAATTTTATGGTGTTCCCTGCACCTGTGACAGTGCGCATCCCCTGTGAGTCTGACAGACATACGGGTGCCATATAATTAATCATTAATTATAATAAATCACCAGCAGATAAGTGACACTTATACCCAAGCGTGCAGAAAGTGACCCGGGGCGACTGGGCCACCTTACCTCAACCTGGCCAACGGCCTCCTGGGCCCGCCTTACACCGACCCGGCCGACGGCCTCCTGGACCCGCATTACACCGACCCGGCTGACGGCCTCCTGGACCCGCCTTACACCGACCCGGCTGACGGCCTCCTGGGCCCGCCTTACACCGACCCGGCTGACGGCCTCCTGGACCCGCCTTACACCGACCCTGGCCGACGGCCTCCTGGACCCGCCTTACACCGACCCGGCCGACGGCCTCCTGGACCCGCCTTACACCGACCCGGCTGACGGCCTCCTGGACCCGCCTTACCTTAACTCGGCTGACGGCCTCCTGGGCCTGCATCATGCGAACGCTCTTCGGTGGGTTCCGCTCAGACAGAAGCTGCGTGGATCCCAGGTAGTTGGCAGCAAAGATGATACCATCAATGAGGTCCTCTGGCTCGCAGGGGCCCGGGACTGCGGGACAGGGAGAGCAATGCCACACTGTCACTGCATCTGCCATCACCTTCAGCACAGTCGGGGTCACCTGCTCAATGGGAGGAGGAAGAAGAACCTGCCAGAAGACTGCAGGCCAGGCCTCCAGCTTCCTCCTGCATAATGCAGACATGTGTGGGTTTTCTGGCCATTTCTGGGCAATAGGTGCAGCACACTGTCCACTGGGCTCACCTCCCTTAGCTTCTGCTGGGACTACCGAGTTTGGACCAGGAACCGCTACAGACCTACAGGAACCGCTACAGACCTACAGGAACCGCTACAGACCTACAGGAACCGCTACAGACCTACAGGAACCGCTACAGACCTACAGGATAGACCTTGTTGCATATCTGTCAGGTTTTTTTTTTTTTACATTTTTTACATTTTACACTTTTATCCAAAGTGACGTACATTTTATTATTTTTTTGAGATAGTAGGGTCAGCAAATCCATGGAGTTATAGGGAGCCAGGGGCCTCGCTCAGGGGCCCAGTGGTGAAGTTACAGTGCCCACCCTGCCCTAACCACTGAGCCACACACTGCCCACAAAAATCAGTGATGACCCCGACATGATTGAAACACGCCACCTTCTGGATCCTCACATGATGCAATGTAGGACTCTTGGTTTGCAGAAGACCATCTAGTCTTATGCAGATTCATGCTCTGGGATATTTGGTGAGGGAGCTTGCCCCCTCCCTCTGCAAGCTGCACTTTTCTCTGCAGCCTCAGAACAAGCCCCTTCCCCTGGGAGAATGATCGAGCACATCTGACAGCCTCCGTATTACGACTGAAAGCACCCTTATTGCTCATTAGTGCTTACAAGCTGCTGCTGTCATTCACTATCCTGCCGTGTGAAATTCTCCCGGGGCCCGTCGAACATGGAGAGGAGCCACCCGACGGCCCTGGCATGTCAAACATCGATGGCAACTGTGATCTTATCAGAAAATAAAAGGCAGTCTTCACCCGAGCTGGAATCTAACATTCCGGCACTGAAATGGGGGTCCCCCCCAGTGCGGTTCACGGGGGCACAGCCAGAAATTCTGGGCCCCCTATGAAAATGTCACCTTGCGCCCCCCTAAAGAAATATAGGTCCCATAAGAATTTGGGGCCCTTGTGAAGTGCTGCCCCCCCCCACGAATCCGCCAGGTTACCAGGTGCCTCTACTGGGTTGTTGAAAAAGCCAAAGTCCTCACTCATTTCCAGACAGACGGAGGGAGAAGGACACCGACTCACCGTCCACGAAGCTGGGGAAGGCGGCGCTCTTTCTGGTTGGCTGAAAAGCAGAAACGCAGGTTAAAGCAGCAGGCCGGCTATAATCACACATCCCAGCAGCCACACACGCCCTTGCCCGTGTATTTCGGGTAACCCTGCCGGGCTCGACCTCCCTGCTAAAAAAAGCACAACTCACACCTCTCTCACTTGAGAGATAAGTCTTTAAAAACACGAGCGCCGCCATAAACGCTGAACCCAGATGGAGGGGTAATGCAGCACTTCTCAGGCAAAGCTAACACCCTTAATAAACGGGCAGAACTACAGCATAATCACGAACGGAGATTTTAACACCACTTGCATAACATCACACCCGCTATGTGTCAGGCTTGTGAGCAAATCTAACGTGTTGAATTCCTGTCGGCCTTTATGGTAGGACTCGTACAGGAGAAAGTGAGGTGTAACTTCCTCTAAGAGGGGTAAGACGGTGGTGAAACTGAAAAAATAGTAAAGATATAAACTGAAGATGCTGCCTCCCAAAATACATTGTTTAAACATTACAAATTTCAGCCAAAACCATAGTACATACAGTACATAAAACCATACTGTAGTACTGTATGGGCATACTGACAAATTTGCATGTCTAAAGTATTTTTACACACACACACACACACACACACACACACACACACACAAAGACACAGTACTGTGGCACAATGGCCACAGACAGCAGAAGTGTGTCAACAAATTATCAACCAATTTTAAAAACATTTACAACACAGACACGACCTGTATGACCACTAGGTCAGGAGGCAGGTGGTACTGCAGACCATGATACAGAGAGGAAGCCCCACCTCCTAGGGTAAAAACAGGAAGCTCCGTCCATGGGGTAATAAACCCCACCCACCAAGATAGGAAGCTCCGTCCATGGGGTAATAAACCCCACCCACCAAGA